TCACCAGCATCATCATCATAATCATCATCCTCATCCCTCCTCCCTCCTCCGTCCTCCATCCTCCCCCCTCCCTCTTCGCTCCATCATCCTCCCTCCTCCCTCCTCCCGCCTCCCTCCACCACCCACTCCTGCCATCCTGCCCTCCACCGCCCACTCCTGGTCGTCCTCATCATCATTCCTCCTCCTCCCTCCTCCTCCCTGCTGTCCATCCCTCCCTCCCCCTAACGTAGGAGGAGGCGAAAAAAAACAAGGCGGGGTGGAACTCCATCCAGCGGCGTGCCTCGCGCCCGCACATCGGCTCGCCATCACCCGCTGCCGCTGTGAGCCGGGGCGCGCTGCGACGAGGCCCTCATCATCCTCTGGTTCCGCCTTCTCCTCCGCCTGCTCCTCCTCCTCCTGATCCTACTCCTCTTCCTCCTCCTCCGCATGCTCCTCCTCCTCCACCTGCTGCTCCTTCTCCTCCGCGTCATGCTCCTCCTCCTACTCCTCCTCATCCTCCTCCTCCTCCGCCTCTCCTCCTCGTCAATCCTCCTCTCCCCCCTGCCTCCTACTCCTCCTCTCCTCCTCCTCCTACTCCTCTTGCTCTTCATCCTCCAACTCATCCTCATCCTCCTCTTCTTCATCCTCTCTCCACGTCTTCCTCCTCCTCCACATGCTCCTTCCTCCTCCACCTCATGCTCCTTTCCTCAGGGGACATTATCTCCTCCTCCTTCTCCTCCTCCTCCTCATCCTCATCATCATCATTCTATCATCATCATCTCATCCTCCTCCTCCTCTTTCCTTCTCGTCCTCCTCCTCCCCTCCTCCTCCTCCCTTCCCTCTTTCTTCCTCCTCCTCTCCTCTTCCTCCTCTTCCTCCTCCTCCATCTCCTCCTCCACCTCCTCCTCCTCCTCCTCCTGCTCCTCCTCCTTTTCCTCCTCATTTTTTTCCTCCTCCTCCTCGCTCACGCCCCCGCTCGGGCGCGACGAGTGGCGTCTACCCGCCCCTGGCAAATGTCACGCGTCATCCTCCAGCGCCTGTGGAAATAAAGAATGGGTTCGCGATCCGCGGGGCTGCTCCCCAACAAAATTGGGCGGCAGGACATCCGTCATTTCTTAGTCACAAGCCGACAATACGCCCGAATGCCGTCTTAAGGTCGCCACTGCATGCCCTGAGCCAGCTTCCGTGCGAGCGTAGCGCCAAGAAGTAGCAAACTTTGGCGCAGAGCGGCTCCCCGCAGTGCTAGCCAACCCGGGTGCATTTCAGAGGCAGGTGGCCCCAGTTGGCGCAGCGTCTTGGCCCAGCACGCAGCGCCCCGTGGAGCGAAGTCAGAGCCGATCGCTGGGCAAATCGCTTTGCCGGCCGCCTGCATGAAGGCTGCCGCAGAAGCGAAGCAGTACCGTCATCATCATCATCAACAACAACCACAACAACAACAACAGCAGCAACAACAACACCAACATGAACAGCAACAACAACACCAACAACAACAACAACAAGGCAAAACAACCTGCTGGTGTACCCGGAGCCGGTCCACCAGTTCGCTGTTTTGCTCCATGTAGCGAAACAACCCACTGGTGTACCAGGACCCCCCCCCCCCCCCCCCCCCGCAACGCAACGCAACGCAACGCAACACGGCTGTATGAGCAGCCTCTGTTGCGTTGTGTTCCGTTGCGCGGGCAGGTGGGGGGTGTGTGACCCTACGGGAGCTCCCACTGTATGGGATCCCCTACGGATCCTATACGGACTGTATAGGATCCCATACGGATCCTATACGGACTGTATAGGATCCCATACGGATCCTATACGGACTGTATGGGATCCCATACGGATCCTATACGGACTGTATGGCATCGCATACGGATCCTATACGGACTGTATGGGATCCCATACGGATCCTATACGGACTGTATGGGATCCCATACGGATCCTATACGGATTGTATGGGATCCCCTACGGATCCTATATAGACTGTATGGGATCCCCTACGGATCCTATACGGACTGTATGGGATCCCCTACGGATCCTATACGGACTGTATGGGATCCCTTACGGATCCTAGACGGACTGTATGGGATCCCCTACGGATCCTATCCAGACTGTATAGGATCCCATACGGCGTCTATACGGACTGTATGGGATCCCATACGGATCCTATACGGACTGTATGGGATCCCATACGGATCCTATACGGACTGTATGGGATCCCATACGGATCCTAGACGGACTGTATGGGATCCCCTACGGATCCTATCCAGACTGTATAGGATCCCATACGGCGTCTATACGGACTGTACGGGATCCCATACGGATCCTATACGGACTGTATGGGGTCCCCTACGGATCCTATACGAACTGTATGGGATCCCATACGGATCCTATCCGGACTGTATGGGATCCCTTACGGATCCTAGACGGACTGTATGGGATCCCCTACGGATCCTATACGGACTGTATGGGATCCCCTACGGATCCTATACGGACTGTATGGGATCCCATACAGATCCTATACGGACTGTATGGGATCCCTTACGGATCCTAGACGGATTGTTCTCGCTTGGGTTCCCGATGGGGCGCTCTGGAGGTTCTGGGGGGAGGCGCCGTGAGAGGCGGGGCCCGAGGCCTCTAGAGGCTCGTCCTCCTCCTCCTCCTCCTCCTCCTCTACATCCTCCTCGTCCTCCTCCCCTTCCCCCTTCCCCCCATCCCCCTCCTCCTCCTCCTCCCCCTCCTCCTCCTCCTCCTCCTCCTCCTCCTCCTCCTCCTCCTCCTCCTCCTCCTCCCCCTCCGACGACAACGACGAACAATGCACACGCCCAAGCGATAACGAGGACCGCTGTCCCAGGTCCCCAGGGTCCGAGCCACGCCTGGGAGCCGGCTAACCACGAAAATAACCTCGAATGTTGATATCGCAAGAAGCGGTACGCGCAGGAGCTGAAAGAAGAAGAGATGGACCCCTGTAGGGGTCCCATGGGAATCCTATGGAATCCTATGCGTGTCCTATGGGAATCCTATGGAAACCTGTCGGGGTCCTATGGGAGTCCGATGAAACCCTGTAGGGGTCCTAAGGGAGTCCTATGAAACCCTGTAGGAGTCCGATGGGAGTCCTATGGAACCCTGTAGGGGTCCCATGGGAGTTTTAAGGAACCCTGTCTGGGTCGTATGGGAGTCCTATGAAACCCTGTAGGGGTCCTATGGGCCTCCCATGGAACCCTGTAGGGGTCCTATAGGAGTCCGATGGAACCCTGTACGGGTCCTATGGGCACCCGATGGATCCCTGTAGGGGTCCTATGGGAGTCCGATGGAACCCTGTACGGGTCCTATGAGAATCCGATGGAACCCTGTAGGGGTCGTATGGGAGTCCGATGGAACCCTGTACGGGTCCTATGGGGGTCCCATGGAACCCTGTCCGGGTCCTATGGGAACCCGATGGAACCCTGTCCGGGTCCTATGGGAACCCGATGGATCCCTGTAGGGGTCCTATGGGAGTCCTATGAAGCCCTGTAGGGGTCCGATGGGAGTCCTATGAAACCCTGTCGGGGTTCCATGGGAGTCTTCAGGAACCCTGTCTGGGTCGTATGGGAGTCCTATGAAACCCTGTAGGGGTCCTATGGGAGTCCCATGGAACCCTGTAGGGGTCCTATAGGAGTCCAATGGAACCCTACACGGGTCCTATGGGAATCCGATGGAACCCTGTAGGGGTCCTATGGGGGTCCGATCCAACCCTGTGCGGCTCCTACAAAAGTCCAATGGAACCCTGTACGGGTCCTATAGGAATCCTATGGAACCGTGTAGGGGTCCTATAGGAATCCTATGGAACCCTGTAGGGGTCCTGTGGGAGCCCTATAGAACCCTGTACGGGTCCCTGTACGCCCCGCGGGGGGGCGCGCGGGGAGAGCGTTGCGTTGCGTTGCGCTGCGTTGCGCGGGGGGGGGGGGGGGGGGGGAGGCCGGTCCGCCAGCAAGTGGTTTCGTCAACAACAACAACAACAACAACAACAACAACAACAACAACAACAACAACAACAAAAACAACAACAACAACAACAACAACAACGACAACGACGACGACGACGACGACGACGACGACAACAACATCATACTAAAAATGAAAATACTAGTATGATCATTAATGTCCGCAGTATGAGTAGCCTTATTATCATTATTACTAGTATTGCTGGTCTTAGCATTATCATGATTACTAATCATATTTGTGATGGCATTGGTATGATAACGAGAACCAGTATGGGTATGATTATCAGTATTACTAGCACTGCGGATACGAACAACAATAATAATGGCATTGGTGTTGTTAGTGGCATCAGCATCAGCAGTATCATCATCAGCATCAGCATCGTCATCATCGTAATATGCATCATCATCGGCAGCAGCATCATCAGCATCAGCATCATCATCATCAGCATCATCATCATCAACATCATCATCATTATCATCATCACAATCATACTCGTCGCCGCCGACGTCGACGGAAGTAGTATTCTCATCGTCTTCGTCTTCGTCTTCGTCTTCGTCTTCGTCTTCGACGCCCTGTTTCCCTGGAGCCGCCTGCAGTCAGTTCTGGCGGGCCCCCCGTGCGCGCGCGCGCGCCACGCCCGCTGCTCAGCAGCTGGGGCACGCGACCCTCGGCAACCGGTCGGGCGCCGACCTGAGCGGCCAGAGGGAGCGAGAGAGACCAGCGGAAGGGCAGAAGGACGAGCGGGGATGGGCTGACCAGGGCCAACGCCAACCCCAGCCAGCCAGGGCCACGCCGCAAACCAGGGCCTGCCCCGCAGCACATAGCTCCCAGACCCGGGCCAGCGGAAGGACAGGAGGGAGGTGCGGCTCCACGTGGCTCCCAAGCCTGGGGAAACCAACAGGCACCTGCACTGCCATACCCCCCTGGACCTCTCCCGGGGCGCGTTCCGACCCGGATCTCGGGGCGAATCCAGCGGCAGCGACGAGGGCCTCCCAGGAGGCCCGAAGAGGGGAAAGCGGGCGAAGGGTAGAGGCATGGGTGCCTCTTCCTCCTCCGCAAGCCTGGGCCAGCCAGAGAGGATCAGAGGGATGTTTGCATTCTCTTGCTCACTGGTCACGGCGACGCACTGTGTACACACAGTCCCCTAGCTACGACCGTAGCATGGTCCAAAATGGCTATATCTATATAGAGATATATATAGATATACAAACAAGACTGCAGTGGCGCTTCGCGCCATGCACCTTGGTCCTTGAAGCTTGGTATGCAGGCGGACTAGCAGGAAGGTCAAGCCGACAATTTAGAGATAACTCCGTGTTGCCTTTTCCGGCATCGCCGCTATAACGATGTTATTCGCTATCCTTCCTCCATGCTTATTTTTCCTTATTTTCGCCGTACCCTGCGCATTCTCCCCATCCTCCTCAGCTCTTTTTTGCGGAGGCTCCTCCTTGGAGAGCCTCTGGGGGCCTCACAAAAGTTGTTTCAGGCTTTCTTAAGACCTTCTGGAGGCCTCCTGGGCGTAGTCTGGGGGCCTCTGGGGACTTTCTTGGGCCACCCTGCCTTCAACCGCGGTCTCCCTGAACGACCGGGTCACGATTTGGAATGCTTCGGAGGGTGTCTTGGGGCCATATTGGGCCGCCATGGGGCTCTCTAAGGGCCATCTTGGACCCGCGTTGTGCCGTTTTGGGGCTCTCTTGGACTGCCTGGAAGCCCTTTCGGATGGTTGTGGGGCGATGTTGGAGCCTCCCAGGCGGCTTCGGACGCCCAGAAGACCGCCGTCTTGGAGCGTCGGGAAAACGAAAAGAGGAGACCCCAAAATTCAGCAAAAACCAACAGAAAATAAAAGATTTGTGCCTCTCGGGGCTTTCTTGGGAGTGCTCTTGGAGGCCTCTTTGGGGCCGTCCTGGAGGCCTTTTGGGCCATCTTGAGGTCACGTCGGTGACTCTTGGAGCGCTCTTGTGCTGTTTGGGGGGTCTCTGGGACGTCTCCGATGACCCCCCTGATCGCCCTAGGTGTGCTGGGAAGGCTTGGCAAAACGCCCTGCGAGGCCCGGGGGGCCGCTTCGAGGCCCGTCCGGAGGGTCCCAAAGCCCCAGATCCCGGGAGTCCGGTTTTGGGGGGGGGGGACGGGCTTTCCCCCCGTCCGGGCTTGTAAAAATATAGGAAGAGGTGTATATATATACACATACATACATACATACATACATACATACATACATACATACATACATACATACATACATACATACATACATACATACATACACACACACATACATACATACATAATACATACAATGCATACATACGTAGTACGTACCGTACGTACGTAGTACGTAACGTACATTACATACGATACATACACATACATGCATACATACATACATACATGCATTCATACATACATCACATGCATGCATCCATGGCACTATCTCATTATGCATGACATACATACAACATGCATAAGTTCTACATACATACATACATACATACATACATAAATACATACATACTACATACATACATGCATACCATACATGCATACATGCATACAACACATGACACATACACATGCACATACACATACACATACGCATACGCATACACATACACATACACACATACACATACACATACACATACACATACCCATACACATACACATACACATACACATACACATACACATACACATACACATACACATACACATACACATACACATACACATATACATATACATATACATAACGCTATGCACGACAGGCAAACATAGCACAAACGAGACAGACTCTCTGAACGTCTATCGTGTCCTACATGATTCACAGGGCCCTGGCCCGGGCTGGCGCCCCCGCTGCCTGCGCTCCGAGGCGCTCTAGCCACGCCCACGCTGCGCCCTGGATCTGGGCATGCGCCCCCGCCACACGGGCCAAAAAGACGCACGCCTTCGGTGGCAGCTCACGGGAGCCTCCCGTACCATCTTGTCGGCCCCTGCGGATCGACGCCAGTCGACGCTCAGTGGACGCCCCTCGGCGCGAGCCGACGCTGAATCGGCGCTCTCCTCGACTCCCAGACGCCAGTCCACGCGAACCGACGCCAAAAACAGAATTGCGAGGGTACCTAAGGCTCCCGTGATTTGCTACCGAACACACCTGTTTCCTCCGACGGCCATGTGGCACCAGGGTCACCATCGAATATGTAAGGGATGCAGCCATCATTTGAATTCCAACCGGCGCTCTGGATCAAGCCAGACGGCTTAGACTTGGAAGGCCCACGCACATTTTTTGTTGGCGTCACGGCCTCGCGCGCAGCGACCGAGCGTCCAAAGTCGGAGAAGAGAACGCGCGCGCCCGCGACTATCGGCCGAGTCCTCAAGCCGCTCGAGGCACACACACACACACACACACACACACACACACACACACACGCGCGCGCGCGCGCGCACGCACGCAGTGATCCAGGGTCCAGGATGGGCCAGGCCAGGGGGCAGGTGCAAGTGCAAGTTCGGGTCACCCGAGAAGGCATGGCGCCTTGGTCGGTCCGCGACGATCTTTGAGCAAACATCCGTCGAAGCTGTGCTTTGAAAGGTTCCTAACACGTGTTTAATTTATCTCGCGACATTGAAAAATCTGGGGCCCTCCAGCGCCTCCGGCGGCCTCCAGAGGCCTCTGGGGACCTCCAGAAACCCTCGGAGGCCGTCAGAGGCGGCCTCCAGTAGCCTTGGAGACCTCGAGGGCAGTGTCGAGACAAGGATGCCCAGGCACCCTGAGTCACCGAACCTCTTTCTTGAGGATGGCCGACGGGTCCGTACTCCTGCCTGCAGTGTCGCTCCACTCACACCTCGCGAGGCAACGCCTTTTTTGCTGGCCAGGCTCAATTAGACCAATAAAAACCTACATCATCATAAACTTGTCAGGGCCCGCGTGGACTTCTTGGATCGGCGCTGGACCCACAGCGCGCCAGGTGCGGGCCGGAGGCGCTACCAGCGGGGTCCAGCGCAAATCGATCCAAGAAATCCGCGCGGACCTTCGAAAGCCTACGTTCATGTCGTGTCTCTTCTTCGAATGAATGGTTGTTGTTCCTGGGAAGAGCGGTGTCCAACAGTGAGGCTACGTCTAAACGAACCAAGTTCGCATTCCGACGCACAAATATCAATAGCACATTGCTGGGGATGCGAACCCATGCCACTCGCATTCGGGACAGCACACGGAGACGCGCCGACATACTGGTTCGAGAAAGGCTGGCTCTTCCAGTCGTCACTCGCTAGGGTCCGTACCCTGGGGCGGCGCCTGCGTGGCCAACTCTGAAACCTGGCTGGGTGTGCACGTCTCTGCCTCCGCCCGCTCCCGCGGGGCCTCCGCCAGCAAAACCGCCGTTACCAAACCTCCGCTGGCTTCCGCTGACCTTCCACCGACCTCCAGCGAGGGCGAGACGACAACTCCTCAATCCCTCGAAAGCGAGCCCTCTTCCCAGAACGCCCCGACTGTTCAGGTGGCAAGGATGACTTCTGTGGGGGCGAGCGGTCGGCGCAGCGGAGCGGAGCAAAGACGGAGCAAGGGCTGCGGGACAGGAAGAAGCTCGGGGAGCCGCCGACACCACAATTGCACATCCGAAAAGCAGGATCTTTGGGTGCTTCCCTGCTGAAACCGCCCTGGAATGCCCCCCGTCCAAAAATTGTCGTTGTCCTCCTTCTCCGCCTGTCTTCCTCCTCCTCCTCCTCCTCCTCCTCCTCCTCCTTCTCCTCCTCCCTCTCCTCCCGACGTTCTCCTCCTCCCCCTCGACTCCTCATCCCTCATTATTCATCATCCTCCTCCTCATCCTCCTCCTCCTCCTCCTCCTCCTCCTCCTCCTCTCCTCCTCTCTCCTCCTCCTCCTCCTCCTCCTCCTCCCTCCTCCCTCCTCCTCCTCCCCCCTCCTCCCTCCCCCCTCCTCCCCTCCACCTCCCCCTCCCCTCCCCCTCCCCTCCCCCTCCCCCCTCCCCTCCTCCTCCTCCTCCTCCTTCCTCCTCTCCTCTCCTCCTCCTCCTCCTCCTCCTCCTCCTCCTCCTTCTCTCACTCCTCTCTCCTCCTCCCTCCTCCTCCTCCTACCTCCTCCTTCCTTCCTCCTCCTCCTCACTCCTCTCTCATCTCCTCTCCTCCTCCTCCTCTCCCGGACGTTTTCATCCTCCCCTCGCCTCCCCATCCCTCATTAATTATCCTCCTCCTCCTTTCCCCTCCTCCTCCTCCTTTCTCTCTCCTCCTCATCCTCCTCCTCCTCCTTCCAATCCTCCCTCCCCCCCCACTCTCCGACGCTTTCTCCTCTCAAGTGTTCATCGTCCTCCCTTCTCGTTTCATCCTCTTCCCCCTTGTCCGCTCCCTTCACCTCTTTCAGTTCCTCCTTATCACTGGACACTCCTGTCCTCATCACTCCTGCTCGACCCCTCCCAATATGCGGTCCAGCCATTCTGAGGGACGGGGTCAAAAAATACCCCAGGGACGTACCCAACCCTTTGGCAACAGGTGACATTATCAACTGGCGCTTTCAAAATAGCTGAACATCCGCTGGACGTCCAAGAGGCCCACGAGAGCGAAGACCATTGCGAGGACCGAAAGCGTGGCCCCTCCGCTGGGCCTCCCAGGAGCCCACGGAAGTGCCGACAGTTGCGCAGTTGGCAGCTCCCCTCGCAGGGAGCCGCGAGGTCCCGACGCGATCCGCGTGTCACCCCCACTCCGCTGGGCCTCCCAGGAGCCCACGAAAGTGTCGACAATTGCGCAAGTTGGCAGCTCCCCCCGCAGGGAGCCGCGTCCGCGTGTCACCCCCACTCCGCTGAGCCTCACAGGAGCCCACGAAAGTGCCGACAATTGCGCAGTTGGCAGCTCCCCCCGCAGGGAGCCGCGAGGTCTCGGCGCGATCTGCGTGTCCCCCCACTCCGCTGGGCCTCCCAGGAGCCCACGAAAGTGCCGACAGTTGCGCAAGATCGCAGCTCCCCCCGCAGGGAGCCGCGAGGTCTCGGCGCGATCCGCGTGTCACCCCCTCTCCGCTGGGCCTCTCAGGAGCCCACGAAAGTGCCGACAGTTGCGCAGTTGGCAGCTCCCCCCGCAGGGAGCCGCGAGGTCTCGACGCGATCTGCGTGTCCCCCCACTCCGCTGGGCCTCCCAGGAGCCCACGAAAGTGCCGACTGGGCAAACTCCCCCCGCAGGGAGCCGCGAGGTCTCGACGCGATCCGCGTGTCCCCCCACTCCGCTGGGCCTCCCAGGAGCCCACGAAAGTGCCGACAGTTGCGCAGTTGGCAGCTCCCCCCGCAGGGAGCCGCGAGGTCCCGACGCGATCTGCGTGTCACCCCCACTCCGCTGGGCCTCCCAGGAGCCCACGAAAGTGCCGACAGTTGCGCAAGTTGGCAGCTCCCCCCGCAGGGAGCCGCGAGGTCCCGACGCGATCTGCGTGACAGGAGCCCACGAAAGTGCCGACAGTTGCGCAGTTGGCAGCTCCCCCGCAGGGAGCCGCGAGGTCTCGACGCGATCTGTGTCTCCCTCCCAGGAGCCCACGAAAGTGCCGACAGTTGCGCAGTTGGCAGCTCCCCCCGCAGGGTTCCCGACGCGAGCGTGTCACCCCCACCGCTGGGCAGGAGGGAGACCGCAGATGGCAGTCCGCGACGCGATCTGCGTGTCACCCCCACTCCGCTGGGCCTCCCAGGAGCCCACGAAAGTGCCGACAGTTGCGCAGTTGGCAGCTCCCCCCGCAGGGAGCCGCGAGGTCCCGACGCGATCTGCGTGTCACCCCCACTCCGCTGGGCCTCCCAGGAGCCCACGAAAGTGCCGACAGTTGCGCAGTTGGCAGCTCCCCCCGCAGGGAGCCGCGAGGTCCCGACGCGATCTGCGTGTCACCCCCACTCCGCTGGGCCTCACAGGAGCCCACGAAAGTGCCGACAAATGCGCAGTTGGCAGCCCCCCCGCAGGGAGCCGCGAGGTCCCGACGCGATCTGCGTGTCACCCCCACTCCGCTAGGCCTCCCAGGAGCCCACGAAAGTGCCAACAGTTGCGCAAGATCGCAGGAGGCGACAGATGCGCAGATCGCAGCCCCCCAGAGGGCGCCGCGAGGAGGAGGTAGGAGGCAGGAGGGAGGTGGGCGGGAGGACGGAGCGACCAGAGTGCTCTATTCAAAACGAGTACCCAACCAAGGGAGGGTTGGGAACAATCTAACAGACACTGGCAATACCAAAAGCGAGCTCAAAGCATGGACTTGGCACCGTTATGATGTTTGTTTGCCCTGGCGAACGCCTGCTCGACTGCGATTTGGCGCCGAGCCCTGAAAGACAAGGAGGAACCGACCCGCCAACAAGCATCCACAGCCTCCTTTTGTGGGCAAAATCTGGGTGGCCTAGCCAAAAGTCGAAATCCTATCCGACGACGACCGACGACGAACGACGACCGACTTCTGCCGAACAACGACCGACGACGACCGACAACGGCAGATGGAGCACGGCCGACGACTGGCGCAGGGCGAACAGCGAACGACGACCCACGAATGGCAGCCGACAACGGCCGACGACCCACGACCGACGTCCGGCGAACGACGAATGACGACCATAGACAAGCGCGATCCACCCCTCGCAAACTTAACTACTCGCAGATGGGCTGGATCCCCCGCGGGGGATTCACAGCCCATCAAGGACGACGAATGTGTTTCTCGGACGTCTGCGGGTAGGCACTCTGCGAGCAGTGGACCGCACTCGGTGAGATCAGCAACGGCCGACGACACCCGACAACCGAGAACGACGCGCCGCCCACCGGGGCAGGCTCGAGCCGGATCGAATCGCGAAATCGGGTCGAATCGGGAACGGATCGGACCGCCAGCGAATCGTCCCGAGTCGACGAAATCGGATCGCCCCGCCCGGCTCTGGGGCCGATAGCGCTGAATCGGACCACATCGACTCGAACCAGAATCGCGGACCCAGTCGGCCAATCGAATCGCAACGAACCGGATCGCAGGCGGCCCCGCGCCGGGCGGAAGGCCCGCGCCGCGGCCGTCCAGCTCGCCTCGGCCCGAGCCGAGCGGCGGCGGAGCGGCTGGGCGGCAGGCCCGTGCCGCGACAGGGGCTTGCGGGGCCCTGGCGCCGCGCCCGGCTCGGCCACGCCGTAGGCCCGCTCGCGGAGGCCCCGCCTGAGTGGGGGGAGGCGGCGAGGAGGTGGCGGGAGACGGGTGGGAGGAGTCTTCTCGTCCACCGAACAAAAAAAAAAAACAGAGCGACGAGGAGAGGAGGTGGCAGGAAAGGAGTGGGAGGAGACTGCTCTTCCACCCGAAAAAAACAGAGCGACGAGGAGAGGAGGTGGCAGGAGAGGGGTGGGGGGAATTTCCCCCCCCAAAGAAAAACAAACAAAACAGAGAGCCGGTGCCTAAGGAAGAGCCGGTCTTGCAGAACATGTCCGCGGCGCGAGCTCAACAGGAAGAAACGGTCTTAAAGTCCATGTCCTCGGCGCGTCAGCACGCAACGAAAATGTCACGAAATCTGGCCCGCAAGTGCGAGCGAAAGCGGACAAGGAGGACAAGAAGGAGGTGGAGGAGGAGGAGGAGGAG